CTGCACCGTGGCCGCGGGCGAGACCTGCTTTTAAACCAAGCTGTAATTACGCACGGGCTCGGCAGCCTGTCTCCCGCTACACAGCATTATTTTGGGCTTCTCCAAACCAGAGCTCTTGTCTGGATTTTTCTGACGGCTCTGAAAGCAAGTGAGAACCATTAAAGAGAAACTCTATGTCAGCCCTTTGGCTTGGGGCTAAATTCTCTTTGACGTTACTAAAAGGTTTCGCCGTTGACTTCACTAGTTGGAAGAATTTGTTTTTTCTTTTTTTTTTAACATCGTCAGACATTCATCATCAGACACTCTCCCAAGAGAGCAGGTTGAATTATCTGTTGTGAATAATTTATCCAGTGAATTTAGCCCTTTTTCTGTTCATATATAAAAAGTCCCATTTGCATTCACAATTACCATGCATTCAATAAGAGCAATACGGACTCATAATTCAACTTACAGGTCTCTCCTGCCTTCCGCAAGAGACAGAGGAAAGGATAAATGAGGCAAAAGCCATGACTTTGGCTAGATGAAAAGGAGCGAGCACATTTTACTACGTACGCTTCACAGATGTGCCCAGCACCCAGAAATCAAGGAGAAGGAGGACAGATAAGAGCCTCGGCCGATAGTGATTCACCCGTTGTTTCTTTGACTGTACCTTTATCAACCATGTTGTGTCATGAGCTGCCCCTAGCAGCTGGTATCGGTTCTGCTCTCCAGTCAGGTGATTGGGCCCTGATAAAAAAGCTAAAATACCAAATTCCCTCGTGCAAATGCAAATACACATAGCAGACACCCTTTGAAAATTCAAAAAAATAAAACATGGTCACGTACCTTGGGAAGAACTGGACAAAACAGCTTATAAATGTGACTTGGCCAGATGGCTGAACTTATTAATACATGCACATTGAAATTGGTGTTTTGCAACATTTCACCAATTCTTTTTACAAATATTGAGTCCAAAGGAGCAGGGTACATAAATACAAAAGGCAGAGGACAGATGACTTAATGCTTCACAGCTGGATGAAACACACACGTTATTGTGCGCTCTTTCTTTTTGTGTGAATATCTGCAACCGTGATGGAAAGGGCAGGCTTTCAGCTTGATTTTCAGTCAGCTTAAAATCCAAACACTAATGGAGGAAAGCAACTTGAGGTCAGCCTGAAATTACTACCTCAGAAATGTTTTGGCAAATTGATCTTTTTTGCTACATGTTTTGTTTCAATCATTTTACACATTTAAAAATATTATTTAAATAACCTTGAGCATTTAATTTGTGCCAAAAGTGACAAAAGAAACATTCCCATTTCTTTAGATTTTTGTTGAAAATCGTTGTGTTTTGACCTAAAGACAGGAACTCACGGCATGCTTTGGTCAATGCGCACTTGCAGGCCTCAACAGGAAAAGCTTTAGCCAAAACATCACCAACTTCTGATTTGAAAAGAGTCCCTCTGAAAGGTGACTATTAGTGCAAAATGGCTCTTGCTCCTAGGGATGTTTGGACATCTAAGATCTGTAAGATCAATGGGGTTGGGAGAAAATGTTCTGGACCAAATCTGTTGCGCCATCTCCTCACACATGTTGAAATGCATCACAGGAATTTTAGACAATTTAGACAAGTTCCCTTGCCCTTTTGGGTCCTCCTTCTTGAAAGAAGGATCAAGATAGGATTTCCCCTTGGTATTATTTTTGCAAAGCTGTTGAGAGATATGAGGTCAGCTGTGGGAACTGAGTTCCAAGAGCAGCAAGATTTGTTTTTAGGAAAAGGACACTGAGGAGCTAAATGAGAGGGAGACAGAGGCAGTTTGAGCCCTGTGGTCCCCTTTTATTCTTCCTGGTTTTACATTCTGGGAAACTTGCACTAAGCCTGGGTCAGCAGTACTTGTTACTTGCTGATACTCTCAGAGGTTTAAAACTGGTTCCCCTGAATTAGGACGGGGATTTCTGTATGATTGTTCTTCATCTCTGTAGGTCTGAAATGGGAGTCTGGATGTGACAGTGAAAAATGCACTAAGGCTCTCACTGGCAAGGGGTAGGAGAGATATTAACAGACACCTTTTACAGTGAACAGAAATGAAGAGCTCTGATTTGAAAGCATGGAGAGACGCTGTGGTCAGCCAGGAGCTGCAGAGCTCTGGGCACCGGGCAGGCAGCCACATAGGAGAGCTGTGTTGACCACACGCTCCCTGCCTCTTTCAGCCGGAGGAGTCGAAGTGATCCGGGTTGGGCTGCACATCATAGTCATGCCAGCCAGCTTACTCCAACACGGCTGAAGAAAATGCCATGAAAGCCTGCAGATCTCCATTTTTGAGGGTGGATTTTTTTTCTTTAGAATGAATATGAATGAAAAATCCAGTACTAGGAACACTATACAGCCAAATTATTCAGAAAAGGTCATTTGCAAACTCTGAAGCATTTATAGGTATATACTCTTCTATAGACATTGCAGACTCTGGGATGAGGGTTAGCCTCTGCTTCCCTCTCCATCTCCTACAGCTCTTTGAGCCACTTGCCCAGGGTTACAGCCATTGGCCGCTTGTCTGACTCCCAGGCTTGGTTCCACCTCCGACCTGTGCTGGGACTCGGAGGAGGCTGCTGCTTGCCCCATCTCGCCTGAGTCTGCCTTCTCCAGTGACCCACTCACAATGTGGGCGAGGGGCCTGACTGCCTCCTCCTCGCAGCCCTGAGAGCCACCAGCACAGCCTCACCTGCAGCCATCAGGTGTCACAGCTGCAGCAGCAGTAATTACAATTGCAGCTTTTATGCAGGGTTTACACCACGCTCGCTTCTTTCCGTTCCTCCGGGGACTGCAGTGTACAGCCCAGAATTAATCCTGAGTAAAAATCTTGGGATTCACCTCATTTGAATCAGTGAGGGAACAGACAGCTAGCAAACCATCATGCCCCTGATTTTAACAGAAGCTCCCGAATTTAGGGACGCTTCGAGGCTGCCACGAGCACAAGGCATGGTGTGACAGGACAGGTGGGTCTGGAAGTCTATGAGGACGGGGGGCAGAAATTTTTCTTTTCATGCTTCATTTCTAAGTAGCTTCAGTGTCTCCAGAGTCAGTAGCAGCCCTCTCAACATATTACCTAAGATATGCTCAACTTTAAGCCAGATGAAACCCAAAGTTTTATAACGTTTTTTCCATCAGCATTCTTTGCAGCTCTGTTTCTACCCTCATGTATACTACTGCATATATGTAATTCATCAGGCTCAAAGAAACTACATCGATTTAAAACTGGTAGGTCTTCCCGACGATAAGCAGTGAATCTAAGATGCAGAAAGTGAATTGCTAGACTTTGGCCAGGACATTATCTGCATTTGGACCAAGGCTGGTGAAGGGACAAAGTCAGCAGGCTTTTAAGATCTGTCACAATTATCTTGCCAGCACGAAGAATTTAATGGCAAGTACAGGGAAGCCCAGAGCAGAACAGGTCCATAGGGAAAATAAGGCCCACTACTTGAAAAGTTATTTCAAACGTGCATTTCTGTCTTACATGGTTAGGTGTGCTACTGCACAGAAAAACATTTCAGTGCATTACAGTATCAGGAAGTGGAACAGATACTGTTTACTGGATTAAAAAATCAATAGGCTCATTAAAGCAGACATAAGCAAAAACAGATCTCTGCTGAGACCTTAAAATCTACTCAGGGAACCACTGGGGAGAAGAAAAGGTAACAGCTAAAGACAGCAAAAAAATATTTCAGAAAGGGAAATGAAGTAAAAAAGAGTCCCTCCCATTTTAGGTATAAGGCTTCTTACTGTAATACGTACCTGTGGGGAGGAGTCTGCTCATGCAGGTATAGTGGAAAAGGGACAAAACTTCTAACATTTGTCATTTGTTTGCATTTGCCTCTCAACAGAACTGCGTCTTCTGAAACTGCCCATCTGCCCCTCTCTGCAGCCGATGCAGCAGCAGCCAGGACCTCCGCAGGGCCATATGCTCTTTACTTCACCCTCCGTTTTCCAAGGTGAGGAATCCTTTCTGCAAACCAAACTCTCATCAGCTGTGGAGACATAAGCAGCACAAATGTGCAGGTCAGCGTGTCCAGAGCCTGTCTGACCCCCACTCTCAGGCAGCCCAAGCTTATGGGTATCTCAGGTGAAAGGTTTTCAAAGGTGTATAGAAAATACAATATGTGGAAGGAAAAATAAAGCAGGGCAAGCAGAAGATGAGGGCTAAAGCGAGTACCTTTCATTCCATCAGGCTATTCATCATCTCCACACAGGCTTTGTGCTCACCACCACCAGCAAGTACCCGACTCCACCCTGCCTCCCTATTTAATACATGAAAAATTGTCTCTGGAAAAAGCTGGTAGCACCTTAAAGTACAGATAGCAAAGAACATTGGGATCAGGAGATGCACATGTCCTTGTAACGTTTATCTCCAGTGTCCTGGGAGATAAACTGTCATTACTTTGTTTTTTTGACTGAAAAGCTGCTGTACCGGAAAGTGTACACTGAGCAAAATTTGACCTATTTCTAAAAATTGAGACCTGGACTGTATTTTGAGAAAATTATGTCTGAATCTCACAAACTTACAGAATTTGGAAGTTCCTGTTGCAGGATTCTGC